ACATGCTACAGATTAAAACTAGATCCATGTCTTTCACTATGCACTAAACTAAAATTAAAATCAAAGATTTAAATATTAAAACAGAAATACTAAATCTGCTGGAAGACAGACTATGCAGAACTCTTGAAGACATTGTAGGCAAAGACTTTATGAAGAAAACCCCGATCACATAGGAACTATCACAAAGAAGCAACAACTAGGATCTCATTTTATTAAAAAGCTTCTGTATAGCAACAGAAACCACTGAGTGGGGAAAAACATTTGCTAGCTGTTTCTCAGACAAAAGACTCCTATCTAGAATATATAAAGAACTCCAAAACTCAGACCCTAAGCCCCAGTCCAAAAATGAGCATCTGAGATGAACACACACCTCTCAGATGATCCAGCAGAAATGAAAAATAAATGAAAAATGTTCAACATCTCAGACCATTGGAGAAAAACAAATTCAAACAATGCCAATATTCCATCTCACTCCAGAAAGAATGGCTATAATCAACAAATCAACCAATAACAAACGCTGGGAGGGCTGTGAGGAAAAAGGAACCTTCTCTGCTGTTGGGGGTGTAGACTGGTAAAACCATTGTGGAAATCAGTATGAAATTCCTCAAAAAGATACCCTAGAGGTTCCATTTGATTCAGCTATTCCCCTTGTTAGTATCTTCCTGAAATTATTAAAAGCATCATACCACAGCACTATATGCCCACTCACGTATATAGCAGCACAGTTTTAAATTGCTAAATCTTGGAAACAGCCCAAAAGAATGAGGAATAGTTAAAGAAGATATGGGTGTTTTTTATGCAATGGAGTACTACTCTGTCACAAAAACTACAAAGTTGAGACATTTCTAGGAAAATGGATACACTTTAAGAGCATACTTTTAAGTGAAATTAATTGGACATACATGTTTAAATATCACATTGTTTCCCTGGTGTGAGACCCTGAAAGCATAAATAAGGACCAAACAGATATTGTGTAAACAGATCTGTATAACAGATATTGTGAAACGGCAAGAAAATATTCAAATGAGAAGGGGAACCACAAAGGGTAGCAAGGGAAAGGAAAAGAAAAAAAAAAGAATACAAGAAAAAATGGAAATGAAGCTTTTGTAAAAAAGGAAGGCCAGAGAGATGGAAGGGAGGGGCGGAATGGGGAAAAAAGTAGCAGCAAGCTACAGCATTAAAAGTAAACAATGCCTATGACAAATGTTATTATCAGGTATAACTAAAGGCACCAACAAAATTAACTGTAAAACAAAGTCCTGACACAGTAAAAGCCAGCGTCCTAATAATGCCTCAGTAATTCCCTTCCCGTTCTCCTTCTAAGCTCTTCTCTCCCAGCTCCTCTCTTCACCTCGGTGTGTGCCTGCTGTGCCTCACACCTGAGCCGCCTCAGGACCTTTGCCCTTGCTTCTCCCTCTGCCTGGAGGGCTCCGTCCTTCCTGGAGGCATTTGCTAAGTGGGATCACCAGGTGAGGGAGGGTGCCCCAGGTCATTTTTCCCTCCGCTTGGCACTTCCTTTCATAGTTAAACTTTTCCAAGGTCACTAAATACCATGTGAGCGGTTTTTCTTTTTCTCTCTCATGGCCCACATCCTAGAACATCAGCTTTATAATGCGGTCTCTCTCTCATAATCCCTAGAAAATACTTGAAGCAGGAGGTCAATAAATAATTGCTAAGTAAATGCACTTTACTTTATTATAAAGGCAACTGTCTTGGAGTCAAGACCTGGTCCAAGGTGGCAACTTCATAAATGTCTGAATGAATGAACAAACGAATGGATGACAGAGAGCTGATACTCCATAGCTACATGGGCTAATATGAAAACAAGTGCTTTTCTGTTTAGAACCAGACATTATGGTGTAAGTGTCTTGCACATGGATGCGTAATAAATGTAAAGTGAAGGGATCACGTATTTAAACTCCCAGACTTTGGCTGTGCATCTGCACCATGTCAGATCTCACAAGTCAGAACTCATCCGGAATCCTCTGCTGGGCTGAAACTCTCCTCAACAAGGCTTCAAGCTAAAAAATGCTAGTTTTATTTGGAAAGGGTATTTCACAGAAACCTTAGGAGCATCTACCTTGATGATTTAGATACGTAAAAAATAACAGCACTAGAGGGATAGCATCAATATCCACACTTGAAAGCACACCCAGGAGCAAAGTGGCAGCCAGTGGATGCAGTAGGGGCAAAGAAAATAAGATGCCAGGGCATCTTCCTGCTCATGTCCCCTCTGGGGTGCATGTATACTGGGAGGCAAGAACCATGGACAATACTATGGGTTCGGGATGGACCAGCGGAAGAGAAACTCACTGTTGGAGGCCACCTCAGCTGCATTTCAAAGCCCTGTTCCAGGCTCGCTCACACACAACAGATCCTGCTGTATAATTGACCACACTATCTCCACTCTCCTGATGCTGCCACCCCGGGATGTAACAGTTTCCATCTTTTGCTGAAACTTGGAGACTGCATTTCTGGGAATTTTTTACTGGCGTGCAGATGGGAAGGAGACCACTACTATGGTCAGGGATGTGGGTCTAGATGAGGAGAGTACCAGCTTCAGATTTTGCCTCCATGACTCAATAGTGTGTTCTGATAGATACATGACCGATCCTCTCTAAGCCTCAGTTTCCTTCCCTCTGAAAAGTTTGTTTACTATTCTCAAGAGTTGTAGGAGCTGCTGTGGGGAAGGTACTTTTCAGACATAGGTACTTTTTGACATAGGAAGTCTTAATACTAGCTATTACTACACTACTATTACATTATCCTGGATTTAATTCCTTTTTCTTGGTTTTTTGAGACAGGGCTTGACTGTGTAGTTCAGGTTGGCTTTGAACTCACAGCAATCTTCCTGCTTCAGCTTCCTGAGCACTGATATTACAGTCATGCACCACCATGCCTGGCTTATTTTAGACTTTCAAAACAACCACTGTTCAAAAATAGACAATACACTGTCTTCATGATGAGTTTAGGTTTGTAACAGAAACTGTCATGTATTTACAAGTAAGTTTTTGCTTCCAAGTAGGAAAAAACCCACCAGGCAAATGTTTTGAGTTTTTAGGTATGACTAGTAAAAATAAAGTCACTAAAGACTTTACTTGCAATTCTACTTCTAAATAAAATATATACAGTTTGCAACTGGACAACTTAAAAGATGTTGGACAAATATGACTATAGAGAGTATTTCGATAAAAAAAGCAACAAAAGAATTAAAAATATATAAATAACCATGGGTGTGTTCAATTAGACATTTTTCTAACAAATTACCATCTAGTAAAGTAAATCTTTAATATCCTGCTTTGTTTCAAATGTTGAAAAATGAAATAAAATAGCAGCAAACCTTGTATTTATTTTTCTGTTCCTTCCAATGATACTAACCAAGCACACACAGCAGAGGCATTAAGTTAGCTTCATTAAATTATCCAAGAATTCATCTCACACAAAGCTCTGACTCAACAGGTTGGGGAGGGAGCAGGTATTCACATTCTGCAAGGACTCCCTGAAATCACTGATGATGACATCTTTGGTAAATAATTATTGCAAATAGCATTCCCTTTGACAAGAAGTTTGTGCCTTAAAAATTTGATAGGAAGTTTTTCTAGATTCTATATTTTGTTCCTCCCAAAGCAAGACACAATTGCTTGAAACTCATGAAAGAGACAATGCTGAATTAGTTACTCTTTAGACCTTAAAATCATAATAGAGTTCTCTGGCCTCCTAATCCCAACCAAAGAGCTAAAGGAGATGGGAAAAGTGGAAATTTACATTTGTTCAACAAAATCAGTAACCATTTTCTCTTTAGGCAATTAATTTCCAGAACTCCAGGCTGGTAGGAACATCCTCTGTCTGCAGTTCCCAGTTTCTGACTTGGTAACCTCTCACTTCCCCTGCTACAGAGCATGTGGAACACAACTAGTAGCATCTATATGGGACAGCAGACCTCTAGACAGAAGTTAAACTGCTTGTAGCTTTCCACACACCATGCAATCCCAGGTCCTCATTTCATGACTCATTCAGTGAACTTTCCTTGAGCACATATTACCCACCAGGCACAAGGTAAGCACTGAGAGTACAGCTGGGGACGAACATAAAAAGGTCCTGTTGTCATGGTACGGACATTCTACGCTGTAATGCCACCTGAGAAACTATTTTCTTGAGGAAGTTCAAAAGCAAGTTAAATGCAAGTTTTTAAAATTATGATATCCCAGTCCAGAAAAGCAAATAATCAGTTGGCAAAAATGTGTCTGCAAGGATCAAAGAAACAAGAGGAGGGAGACAGCTGACACAAGGAAAGGGAAGTAAATTCTGAGGCCTTTTGTGGAAGGGCATCACTGCCTCAGTAACAGAGCCCCTGATGAGCTGCCCACTCTGGGTCACAAAAATGACCAAGCAGAGAACCGCCCCTAAGCTGCTAGGAACAGGACCTCAGGATTCACAGTGAAAATACATTTAACAATTCTTACTGGATATAGGACTCACAGACAACCGAATTTGTGACTAGAAAAGCCATTTTCAAGTAGCTGTAACAAATATTTTATGTACTTGATAAGGTTTCTTTTGGGGGGGGATTCAGGCCCTTACAATCTAAGAGTGAGGCTTCAGTAAAAGTTATTAATCACCCAATCAAAACCTGGAAAGCCCACCCAGCTACTAAATGAGGGCCCTAAATAAGGCCATTATTCCCAACACTATGTACTTCCTGCCACACCAGGCGGGGAGCTGGACCCATGCCACGCAGGGAGCTGGACTCCACATTCAGGGGAACCTTACATCAGTGGCTCTCAGACACCAGATACTACAGCTGCAGGGCACAGCACTGGGCCAGACCAAATCCAAGCACTGAACTCTGATCAATGACAAATGGGCTGAAAACGATCACAAGTGGGTCCCTGGGTAGAGAAAGTTTGCCAAGAGGAAGAGAGAGGCTGTTCAGCATTACTGCATTTAGATAATTGTTATTAATTAACCCAAGAACCAAGATCATTCATCAGCAGCCTTACCTAGTTCTGGGGGCAGAACAGTCAGGCGGTTCCCCTGAATGTGGAGTTCCTTGAGCTGGGTCAGTTCCCCAATTTCCTTAGGCAGCGAGATCAGGTCGTTATCCCTCAGGCTGAGCTAAATATAAGCAAACAAGCAGTTGTCAAAACAATTTCTCATAAAGAGGTGCTCAACAGAAACTCTCACACACTACCATGCCCTTTCTTTTTCTATGGCTCAATTCTTTCAATTTACTTACAAGTGACTATGGCTAAACAAGAAACAGTACCAGGAGTGGTGGTTCATTCCCGCAAAACAAACCTTACTCCTACTCAAATTGACTTGATTCTACTCTTACAAGGGCTGCAGAAGTGAATTGATTTTCTAGAAATTTAGATAAATTACTTACTATCTGCAACTTTGTGAGCTTCCCAATATCTGGCGGCAGGATTTCAAAATCGTTGTCACTTAGATAGAGTGCACGCAGGGTGGCTGCAAATTAAACAGCAATATATAAACAGGGTGGCATGGAACCCAACCATTTGAGGTCTGATCAATACGCAGGAGTCAGCTTTGATTAATAACCCTGGCTTGGTGAAAAGCCTGTGACATACCTAGGCTCACTATAATAACAAGCAGGTCAAACTTAGATTTACTGGCTGATTGTGTGGCTGGTGTGTCCAGGAAAACATCTATATCCAAGAGGACTGACACAATTAACAACAGTGGGCATGGGCAGCAGTTTTCCTCATATTTCAATGCATTTCCATAAGGACAGCTATTTTTCTCTATGACTTCCAATTCACGCTTGTTACTCCATTTGCATCCAACGTAAAAGGAAGAGAACCACTGTCACTTGCATCTGTACAGAGAGCAAAAGGGCTCTTGCACAGAAATAGGATTATGCCACTATAGAACTTTCATATGTAACATAACGATGCTCAGAATAAATAAGGGAGTGAGTGAATGAATGACTTTCTGGTAATGGGAGCCAGAATCATAGTTCATCATTTCCATAATCAGACTATTTATTATTACTTGCTTCTATGGCCTCAAATGACAAAAATATATGAAGACACAGACAATTAAACACGGCATAGAGTTCAAAAAAATACAGCCTGAATTGAACAGAATCTCAGCACCATTTTGCTCACATTATTACACAATAATAATATGATCCCAAACTAATAAACACATTTTAATCCTAAAGCACCTTTCAGCCTCAACCAAAAAAGGCAGTACTGTATACTAAGATGTATGATTTTTCCTGATTTGTTTATAGGTATTTAATGTTTTAAAATTCAACAGAACTGCATATTAATACGTGTGACAAAAAACATTTTTTTCCATATACCTAAGAAAGGAAATATTTCAGAATTCGTTTCACGTGGCTGAGAAAGTCTTGAAAGGTGAAGTATATGGGTTAAAAAATGAAACTAGCTAATTAGACTAGCTCAGAAAATTGAGAATTTTCTAGATGTCATAGATGTCAAAGGCATGCAACCTTTTCCTAAATTGAAATATTTAGTAATGAATTCCTAGAGAATCAATGTTTCCCAATTTTTAGGAGTTCCTGCACAAGACATTTATTTACATGTAAAGGATCAAGTATGTCCATTTATGACTAACAATTTCTTAATGTTTGTACAGTAGGCAAAACAGATTACTTCAATAAAGTGGTTTTCCAAAGATAAAACAGGAATCCTGGCTAGAAATTTAAAAATTCACGTAGCAGTTTATTAATGGGTATTTTTGTAAGTAATTGTCTAGAGTATCTTTGAGCAAGTACCTTACAAAGATTTAATAGCAACATGGGAGTACTCTTGTGGGCACACGCTCTTAAAAAGAAAATCAAGTTTCTTAACTAAATGTGAGACTTGATCTCATTCAGTTCAAAAATCTCTCTTGGAAAGTTAATATGACATTGCTAAGTCCACTTCCACCCAGTAGTGTCAGGTAACTATACATCAAATATAAATACTGCTGAGCTACGAAGAACTATTAAAAGATAATCCATGAAGAAAAAAATATATACGTCTAATAATTTCTCTTAAGAGTTTGGGCCCTCGCAAATAAATTTCATTCTTAGAATGAAAAGTACCATGCTAAGAAGATTTATAGATTAAAAGTTTCTTACTAAGATAGAAGAAATTTCCAGGAAGAGAATTTTCATTCAAGTTGTTGTAAGTCAAGTCCAGGACTTCAAGAGCTGGGAGAGAGCCAAACCCACGGGGCAGCGTGTTCAGCCTGTTCATGCTGTGGGGAAGAAAGCTGTGAGTTATCACACACAAGGCACATACACAGAATACTGACCACTTACATTACTTCTCTGGCAGGCTGAATGCCTTAAAAAGTGCCATGATTCTATGTTTACTTTATGCTTTTTAAATGCAATGTAATTGACAAATACTATATACTAATAGTACTGCACAAATGATGCACTGGTAGATAAACACAATGTGGAATAACCAAATCGAGAAATCTAACAAGCACTGTCATCCTTTTGCTAACATGTATGTGTGGTAAGAATATTTTAAAAAGCTATTCTCTTAGCAGTTCCCAAATATAACATATACTTTGTGTCTGCATGAAATTCTATGCCCTTTGACAAACACATCCACATTCTCCCCACTTACTAGGCCTCTGGTGACCACCTATCTGCTCTGCTTCTCCAAGTTTGGCTTTTCAAACAGTCCACATATAAGTGAGATTATAAAATGTATGTCTTATTCAACCTAAAATTTTATTCAGAAAATCTATGTATCTGTAAAACATTCGAAAACTTCTTAGTTGTCATTTTCTCTGGTGGCAAAGTTCGATTATTGTTTCGTATAAAAACTGAAACTATCACAAAATATTTGTCTATGTAGAGAAAAACTTCCCAGTGAGCTCTGCAATGAACATCTCAAAAACGCATATTTAGTAGTTGTTTTACAACTTTTTGATGTACTTTATTTCACTTATCCTTCCAATGCAAGGGAGAACATTTAACTTTGTATTGTACAACTATAAAATTTAAAATTATCACTGACTACAATGGTGGTTGCCAGGGGGTTTGGGGGAATAGCTGTTTAATCGTTACAGAGTCTCAGATTTGCAAGAAGAAAAATTTTTGGAGACTGGCTGCACAATAATGTGAAAATACTGTACCACTACTGAATCTGAATTGTGTACTAAGACGGTAAAATTTTGGATATGCATGCATATATGTATATATGTGTATGTGTATTCAATGAAACCTAAGGATAATTTTTTTTTCTATTACCATCTTTTAACCTCTTCAAGACTCTTACTTTCCTTAACACAGTTTCTTCTAAACATGCTTAAAAGCCAATTTTAAAACAACCTTTAAGTTAGCAAATACTGAAAGATAGGAGAGACCATGACACTAAAAATAACTAGTCATTGATCTTTCTTATAATGGATGCAATCCTGTCCACCCCTACCATCAGGCCTCATAAGACACAACTGACAGCAGAACAGACCAAAAGAGTAAAGTGGATTTCTCTCCCTCAGGTAGGCTTTCACAGGCAAAATAACCTGCATGACTATTTACTGCAATGACAACGACGATCCAGAATTTCTATCAATTCACTATTTGTGAAGCATTCTGTCAAGTACCCTACTTGATTCACTAACTACTAGGCATTCATGAGATAAGTGCTAGCAACAAACCAGGCTGAGAGTTATTGCAGGATCCCTGGGAATGCTGACCCATAGTGAAGTTATCCCAGAAATTATTACTGTAGCAATGCAGCACCTGCATGGTTTTGCATTTCTTAGAAAATAACTCTGTAAGATGAAACATGTTTGAAGAACTAAGAACACAACAAAATGTTCTTTTATTTAAGCAGGTGGCCAAAATACTTTCAAGTTTTGTGATCATCAGAATAAACAGCAAACACTATATAAACTTAAAAGCAAATTTTGGTTTAGTGTGTCTTCTGGGCAGCGGTCCACATGACGTAACCATTCTGGCTCTGTAGTCTCCTCAGTGTATGTTTTTATTCTGGACAATGATTCCTAAATAGTCCTTTCGACAATCTGCCTTAACCTGGCACTACTGTCTGTGCTTAATTCTTTGTGCCATGTGAAGACTGACTATCCTTTACTGAAACCTATCTTAATTTCCTTCCCAAAGAAGTAAAACTTTTCTTCAAACTTTGACAACCCTGCTGATGTAACTGTGTCATTAAATACTGAAAGCATTATACAATCAATAAAGCTCCAAGCGCCAAAAAATACAAACAAGAACAAAGAGGCCAAGAGGACAAAGAGGAAATCATGACACAACAAATGAAAAAGGGAAGTTTATCACTGTGTCCAAAGGTATGTCAAACCTCAGTGAACAAAATCAAGGCTCCTTATCTTTTTTTCAAGCTGATCTCCATTTACGTTTCCATTTTAGCTACCAAAAACAGAAATCCAGGTATCGCCCCACCCCATCCATTGTTGTGCTGCCAACTTTTCCTTCTGTGTATTTGCAACTAAAATCTCTCCCATGCCTCCACTCATTCACCTGAGGTAGTAAATTTGCATTCTTGCTGGCCTGCCCACCTCTAGTCTAGTTTTTTTCAAACTTCTCTTCTCTGATCTTTCATAAAAAAAAGTCTGACCTCAGCTCATACCCACTACTCCACGATGCAACTTCCTCAATGAACAGTAAGATAAAACCAAAGCTCCTTTTTGTAGCTCATAAGGCCCTTCACTAGCCTTCTGAGTCTCTGTCATCTATTTTTTTTGCCGCTGATTTCCCTGTCATGGTGCTCCACTGGGGCTGAACAGTTGGTACCCGTAACTGGTATCCAGTTTAGAATATCATAAGCACTCATTAAATGAGCAGCAGACGTTCACAACTGCCTGTCTAGTCTTGCTCTCACCTGACCGCTCCTTGCCTCAGACCTTGTACTCAGAATTATTAATAAAGTTGAAATACACTTCCTGGACATGCAGACTTTTGAGATTTTGGGTACGTAACAGCTCATCCCAACCTGAGATGCTTTTCTTCTACTTCCAAGTCTGAGGAATTACTTCTCATGTGTTAAGTTGGGTGTCTAGTGCTGTGTGAACTCTCTGAGGACCTGAAGGGTACACCAAGCATGCTCCACCTCTTGTCCCACTTGGGTCCCATCAGCCCTAGTCTGTTTGGGACCCTTCTGTAGTGTCACCACTGAGTCACAGCAGGCCCTCCTCCCTAACTCCAACCCCAGCCCAGAACATGACTTTCATCTTTAACCCCTAAGACAAGCAAGATTCCTGACACAAACCAGGCACTTAAAGAAAAAACTAAATAAAACAATGATAATAACAATAGTAACACTAACACTATGCCCTGTTTCCCATGTACCAGGCTATGTTCCAAAGGATGGAACTGTATGTAACTCATTTAATAAATGAACAAATTAACAGTACAAATATATCCTTATATCTAGTTTTAGTTTCTTACTTACACACCAATTAAGCACTGAGACTTAATAATCTTCAATAAAAGTAAGCTCCTTTCTTTTCTGCTTTGCCAGATATAGTTTCTAAATATGCAGAGGAAAGAATCATTCAGCACTTATAAAGTGAGGTTTCTCCTTTTAAACTCCACTATCCCTCACATGCTAGAAAAAGAATAGTCATGGGTCTTACAAAGATGGTCTCTTACCCACAGTAGGCTTCAAACTACGAATGTCTACCCAAACTCCTGTGGAAAGGATAAAGTAACAAGGATTTCATGGGTGAGATTTTTTGCCGTGCTTGCTTCCTATTAAACGAATAAATTCCTGGCCAGTTTCTATGGCCACTCCATGTAAATCACTGATGAAACCAGAGTATTTAGTGGCTATAATCTAATGAATATATTAGTCTGCACAAAGAATGAAGCATGAATGAGCAGTTTCACCTAATAGTTGTGACAATGCAGGCAGAGCTAGGAAGCCACAGTTCTGCTGGCACCTATGCAGTGTGACGCAGAAGGGACCAGCCCGCACTAATGAGATTTCCCCTGCCTTCTGCCCCCAACCTCAGGTAAGTAAGAAGCTGGTCCCTTAACCCTTGGAAAAGACTTGGCCTCCTCTCTGAGTAACAGAAGCACTAATGCCTTCCACTCCCTGTGTCACAAATGTGGAGGGGGTCGGCTGCTGCTGTGAGGACTCAGAACTGCAGAGCAATCCAGGAGTAGAAAGCCTTGTTATTATTCACTGTTTCTTGGTTCTGCCATTTCAGCTGAATCAACATTCCTCTGTTCACCTCTGCATCAAGACATAGGATTATCATCTCCTGACCACTCAGGAGAATTGCAAGAAATTAATGAAATGGCATGAGAGAATGGTACCTTGCTCTCCTTGGAAGGAAGACATGTTGTAAAATATTTCTACTTAATACAGAGGGGAGAAAAAATTATCAACCATATTATAACTTGCTTGAACAGCTACTGCTATGCAATCAAATCAGTCTCTTCTTGGTCAACATCACAGAAATAAAAATTTTATTGGAAAGAAAGTACACTAAAAAAAAAAACCTCCCTTATTGCGCCAACAGTTAGCTTCTCAATTAGCCCTCAAATAGATATGCACTAATATAGGCCATTGAAAGGATATATTAAAACAATAAAACTTTTTTAAAAACCTAAAACATAAAAAGAAGTTGGAAACGCATTTCTACGCAGTAACATGAAAGGTCTTCCTACCCACACTTCACTCCCCTTCTGTACCCTTTCTGCACCTCAATACTCACCCAAGGTTCAGGTGTTTGAGTTTCTGAAGGCTGCTGATCTGTGTGGGCAGTTCTTCAATCTGGTTATTAAAAAAGTTAAGCACTTCCAAGTTCTTCAGCTCTGCTACATTTGGCGGCACAGCTATAGAGACAAAATGCAGGATGTGAATCAAGGAGCCTCTCTCCCAGCCAGGAACACCAGCAACACATTTTGTTTTTCTTTCCGATGAAGCAGTTATTCCAATGTGACCCTAGAATTCATATGCAGTTTTCATTCTTTCCTAGGTTCTCAGGTGGAACTTCACCATCAAGTCACAGCAGAACTGTTTCTTCTTGTACAATCAGATCAAAACATTTGTCATGGTTTGTACCAGATGAATAGTAAGGGAGGAGGCAGAAAGGACAAGGGATCTCTGCACCATAAACTGACTATAAATGATTATTACAAAATGCATACACTTTTAAGTGTCTTATATCTAATAAATGCAACTGTTTTCTTCCTTTTGGTTCTCTTGTCTCTCCACTAGAAGACAGATGGCAAATCCAAATCCTTTCCTGTGTGATGGTCCCAAGTGGAAGCCTTTTAAGCAGTCCAATTATCAGAAGAGCTATCCTCTTTAATGGTATTAAATCACAATTTAAGTTCAATCTTAAATGATAAAATATTCAACCTGCCTAGTTTCTGATTTGGGCCTCTGGAGTAATGTACTTTGATCAATACACACACACACACACACACACACACACACACACAGAGAAAGAGAGAGAGAGAGAGAGAGAGAGAGAGAGAGAGAGAGAGAGAGACAGAGGTTATACCAGATTAACAACAGATCAATATACTGTTATTACATAGAAATACAAAAAGCCAAACTGAGTAGCATGCTATGAATAGCACTATGCAGATCAAAGTTGCAAAACAACCACTTGGGGCCTGTAAGAATCTGTCTTCCCTGTAGTCTATATCTGTAAATACAAAATTAAAAGCCAAAGGCATTGTTATCTCAAAAATATAGTCAGTCTTCAATGTCTGTGGAATCAACCACATGTACAGACTTTTTCTTTTGTCATCAGTCCTTAAGCAATGCAATATAACAGCTATTTGTATAGCATTTACATTGTAGTAGGTCTTATAAGCCATTTAGAAGTGATTTAAAGTTATTTGGAGGATGTACACTGGTTATAAGCAAATACTGTGCTATTTTACATGAGGCATTTAGCATCCTTGGATTTTGTTATCGTAGGGGCTCCTGGAACCAACCACCCAAAGATAATAAGGAACAGAAGTATTACTCAATCTTACTACAAACATCTGCCTGGGCAATGACCTTGCCCATGCTTCACGTAAACATGAGTATCAACATCATATACAACATCAACATCATAACTGACATGGGCCTTGAGTCCAGCAAAAGAATGTGGATTACATCTCCTGGCAGCCACCGGCTCCCTCCTTCTGGGAAAGCCATCCTGCCTGCCCGCTGCTCCAGCCTCAACTCAACCAGGAGCACCTATGCTTGGACCTACTACCCAGGTGTGTGTCAAATTCCAAACATATTTAACATAATTAAGGAGGCAGCCACTCAAGGACACCAGCTGATAACTCCTGGGGGAACAATGAAAGGAGGAGGAGTGCACTGTTCCTTACAGTTCTGGGTAATCATTTTCAGGGCTAAGAAATGTAGAGACATTGATGACTGATCTCTTTTCGAGAGAAGGAAGGCTTAGTACAAGCTAAAGGAAATGCCATCAGTGGGAGGAGTGACCACAAGAACTAGAAATCAATCTGGACCAAGACTCAGAGACAAGGGACAGCGGTCCACTAACTGAGCTTTGAATTGGTTCCTGAAGTGGCTGGAAATAAGTGGTCTTCATGGAATCATGGAGGCAGCTGAGAAATACTTCCAGAATTATTCCTGCATATTAACACTAATGTATATGAACCTGACCTGTATAAAGTGGCTGCAAAAGCGTATTTTGGGTGCAGAGACGACAGCACACTTTTAAATGAATGGTATCATGACCCTGTCCCTCCTCTGTCACTGTGTGTCACTTTCCCCAGTTCTTCCCTATTCTGTGAAGTGCAGCTACCAGGAGACTTTTGTTCACCCTCCAGCTGCCGGCAAACCTACTCTCCCCACAGTGATCCGATTAGTTTGAAGAGCAATAAAGGAAGTTAGTGAAACCAGGAGAAAATAATGATCTTAATTTAGCCACAAACCAAGAATAATGCAGCCAGAATTACTGCCGCTACCCCAAAGTTACTCTGCCAATGCAATTAAATGCTAGTCTAAAGGTATCGCCCTCGTGACAGGATGAGAGATTATTTCACTCTCCTTCCAAATCAGTCCAATTTAAAACCACAAATTATGCTAAATGTGATTTAGGACTTTGTTCTGTGGACACAAACAATAACCCCACATTCAATTTACCAATCCTCTCCCGTCTTTTGATGTGCATGTGAATTTTTTGTGTGTAAGACTTCATTCAAGCTAGAGGCAGGGGGAAAAAAAAGAATCACATAGCTAATATTTTCCCTAAAGTACAGATTTTTTTTTTCCCCAGCCTCAGTCAATATCAAAAGAGGTTAACGGTCAGACCTGTCAGGCTGCAATCCATTCATTCTTTCAACCAATATTTAGCAAATGTTTATTATGTGCACAGCATCATCCTCCTGATGTGTAGCAATGCTTTGGGGACAAAGTGAGAGAGTTGTACTATTTAAAGGCAGAAAGTTACAAAAGAACTTTGGCACAGTCAAATCCAAAATGGACCTAGTACTTGGAAAACAAGCTAATTTCAACAAACTATCTGTTATAACCTAAGCCCCCCTAGCTATCCTAAGGTCTGTTCTAAGGTATAAGCCCACCTGCTGCTTCCCCTCCCCTTCTCCCTTCAAATCTAACTAGGTTAAGTTTTAACTTCCTAAAGGCCATAAAACAAAGGCCTGAGGTAATAGCTCCTGACAACCCGGGTCTTCTCTACCCAAAAAGACCCGGTAGCCCGTCACAAGTTGTGTTAATTGCATTAGATTGTATTAGATTGTACATTCTTCACAAAAATAGCTTCGTTTGTATCACAGTAATACCTGTAACTTGGCCTTACTGTAAATGTGTGTTTTCATTTCCCTCTGGGCAAAGGATCGATATGTTAATCAATGCTCTCCTCTGTAAAGAATTGTAAAATCTTACCTAATTGATATGTTAACCATTGTTACCCACTACAAATAGAACAGTTGTGGTGCTAAAGTAAGGTAACTAAGGTTGTTAATTGCTGTTAGACTTTTCTATTCTTTGCTAAGGAAAACAAGATTTCTTCTTATCTAAACTTGCTAGTATGCAGGGAGACTTGCAATTGCCATTTCTGCTTTGTAGTGTGTCACACCCCCATCCCCCTCCTTACATTGTGTGACCAGCAGCTGTTTGTGGATTTACAAGATAAAAAATCCTGACTTTTAGCTGTGAGGTGTGCAGTCTCCAAATTGGCTCCCGGAGACTCGTCACCAGGCCTGGATTTTACCTAATAAAGCCTTTGCTTCCCAAATTTTAATTTCTTGCTTTCTTGGATTTTATACCGGGGTCCGAGTTATCACACTATCCACTTGAAAAGTTAACAATACAAACTATGCAATGATTATATCTTATACAACATACATAGCATAAATAATTTTAGCTAGTATGAAAAGGTGGTTAGCAATATCTCACCAAAGTTCTCTACTAAAATGTTTCAAGGTATCCACAAGATACAAAAGCAGGAAGCATTTTCAAGTACAGCTAGGCAGTTAGTATCTGTGTATTTCACGCTATGCCACTAAGATGCTCCTGTTCTTTCACTCTGTCTGTCTCCCGAGCTGTGACCCCCAGCAGAATCCACACGGCACAGAGGCAGTGCAGAGCTGGGTGTACAGAAGCAGCCATGTCCTTGCTCTGTGTGCCCTATTTCAATACACAACCTCTCTGGGCCTCCCAGGTCTCAAGTGTGAAATGAGAGGGCTGGAGAATGGCCATTTCTAAACACTCTTGTAACTGTTTTCAACATTTTTGAGACAAAGAGATGGATTATGAAAATCAATGATAATGGATTTAAATAATACAATAGGGTCCCCAATTAGGAAGCTCAGTCATGTAGAACTTTTGCTTCTGACAAATTTAGATTCATTTTCTCTCTCACCAATGACAGTTTTTAGTTTTGAGACTTCAGCTACTAAATTTGGGAGAGCGATCCTAACAATGCTCAGGCTTCCATGGCTCCGACACACAATATTCTGCCCCAACCATAACATCACACAACTTTCTGGGTCCCTCTAAGCCCAAGGCTTCCACTGTAGTCTTTGGAAAAGGCACGGCCCCAGGAATCTATGCCCAGAGAATGGAGTCGCGGTGTCTTCTAAGATTTTAAACTATTCAGACTAACTGGACTGCTGCCCCAGTCCTCTCATTCTTCAAATCTGCTTAAATGAAAGAACTTAAACATTATTCCAGAGATGCATGTATCTCACGTGTTGGGCCAAACTCCGCCTTCCTCAGCTAACTGGCAGCTCATAAACTCCTGTCCTGCAAAAGGAGAAACAAAATAATGAAAATAAACTAGTTAGAGTGAGGGAATTTTCACTCTGGGAGTCTTGTGACACCTAATTAGTAATTCTACAACTAATAATTTATTTTGGAGCATTTTAGGAACGTGTCCATGTAATAACACATAGAATAAGTTCGGGAGCTGGGCTGTTCAAAGGGCACCCACTAATTGTGTGGCTGCTTAAATCAAAATTAATATTAAATAAAATTAATAATTGCATTTTATGGTCACAATAGCCACTCATGGCTGATTGTTCCTGTATTGGGCATTTTCATCCCTGTAAAATATTGTTTGTCGGGGCTGGGGATTTAGCTCAGCGGCATAAGTTCCTGCCTTGCAAGCAGGAAGTCGTGAGTTCGATCCCTGGTACCGATAAAAAACGAAAAAAGACAAAAAAAAAAATATTGTTTGTCTTAGTACCAGGGACTGAATTCATGACCTTATGCTTGCCAGGCAGGCACATACCCCGCTAAGCTATATCCCCAGCCCTCACTGTAAAATGTTTTATAGTGGATTCAAACTATAGAGCACATCAGAATTATCACAGGGTTTCCTAAAACACAGGGGAGC